CATACACTGTTGTGATTAGTGACATATGATAGTCTTATCCTGAGCAGTCAATATGTTTATATTATTTGATCGCTGGTGGCGTCGGTGGCCTAGTGGTTAGGCTCTCGGACTCGCAACCGTAAGGTCGTGGGTTCGAATCCCGTCAGGGACCCGACATTGTGTCCTTGGGAAAGGCACTTTACACGAATTTTCCTCACTTCACCCAGGTGGGAATGGGTACCCGGCTATAGACAGCGAAAGATCTTGTCAGTTTGTTAGTGTTTGAGCGCTTAATCAGCTACTTGCACTGTATGCTTCCCGGGAAGCTGAGGATGTTTCAGAGTGTTCTATGGTCTACTGGGGTAATAATATAGTGTAAAGCGCATAGAGCCTGCTGTTGAGCGGGGATATGCGCTATACAAATGCTATTTATTATAATGTTTAGTCACGCCAGTGTGTACGGAATCATAACCATTCCTGACCTTCATACATAATTTATGTATGAGGTCAGCTTCCGCTTTGTGCTAATTATTTTTATGCTTACTATAGATTATGTTTGGTGTAGCGGTATGTATGTCATTACAGGTATATTGTGTGGAGTTGCATGATTGTGGGAGTAAGGCATTTCTTGTTTTTTCATTTCAATTAATAAAACAATGTGTAGTACACACAGGCGTGACGTTTGTTTCTTTTAAAATTATTATTAATTTTGAACAACTTGTCGTTACCTATGGAACCGTGCAGACATAACCTGTAACATGACCCGTCTCTCCCCCCCCCCCCCCCCCCAGCCGTGGGTGCCCATGTGACCCCTCAGATGATGGCGGCGGGCTACTCTATGAGGGAACAGCTGCCGGCCATGCACTACACCTGGTCGTCCCGGGGACCCGCGTGAGTTTACTCTGTCCTGCTTGCTGTTTGGGTTCTGTTGGGGAGATTTTTTATTTTTTTGTTGTAGGTCGTACTTCTTTTGTTTTTGCGTCTGTTGTTTCTGACTGTCTCTCTGTCTGTCGTGGGTTGTTTGCTCCTTCTTTCCTCTCAAACGTCATTATCTCTCTCTCCTCCTTCTTCTTATTCTTTGTTACTCTCTACTAGCAACACCACTTATCTTCAGCATTTTTATGATGTTTTGTTGCAAGTATCGTCCCGGGGACCCTCGTGAGTTCTCCGTGTTGTTTGCTCTTTGGGTTCTGTCGGGGAGATTTTTTTATTTTTGTTGTAGGTCCTACTTCTTTTGTTTTCCGTCTGTTGTTTTTGACTGTCTGTCTGTCTGTCTGTCTGTCTGTCGTGTGTGGTTTGCTCCTTCTATCCTCTCAAAAGTATCATCCTCATCTCCCCTCCTTCTTTTTTGCACCCCCGGGGCGGTGCTACTGACTGAAGTGTCTTTAGGCCATTCCGAAAGGGGGGACATTAACCTGTTCTTATGCTCAGTAAAGTTGTAAATGGGCTGAATCATCGATGTCATGCTCATAACTGTGCCTGAACTTCTTACGGGGAACTGCTGCTTTTTCTTTCCTCATCCTTACTATCGTAATTTTTCCTGTACGTGGGTGGTTGGCGGGTGATCTGGTGTGGTTTGCTCCTTCTTTTCTATCAAAAATCTATCGTCTTTATCTCCCCTCCTTCTATTTTGTGTTTGTTGCTGTCTTGTAACACCTCTAATCTTCGACACTTATAGGACCTTATTGTGTTGCAAGTGCCATAAAACTTTTACTAAAACTAAACGTTTCCTATACTTCTTTTGTATGTTTGTCACTCTCTTGTGAACTGCTATTTCTGGGGTGCCTTGATAGTCGAAGCAGACTGTTGAAGCTAGAGGGGTGAGCAGAGTAAGTCTGATTCCCTGTATGGACTTCTCTCGCTGTAAAAACTCTACTAAAACTATACTAAAAACTTCTTTTTGTATGATACTCTCTGGCAACTCTACTAATCTTCACTAATAAGATGACCTTTTGTTGTGCAAGTGTCGTAGAAGTCTTACTAAAACTTAAAATTAAGTTCTTCGGCACTTATATATAACCTATCTGTGTTGCAAGTGCAGTAAAACTGTAACTAAAACGAATTAATTAATTTTGTTTGTTTGTGTTTCAGTCACGACGGAGCCCTGGGTGTGTGCATCAGCGCGCCGGGCGGTGCCATAGCCTCTGTGCCAAATTGGACGCTGCGGGGCAATCAGCTGATGAACGGGACCAGCATGAGTAGTCCGAATGCTTGTGGATCTATAGGTGGGTTCTGGATCAGTTCTTTTTCTCTCTCTCTCTCTGTCTCTCTGTATCTCTCTCTCCCTCTCTGTTCCCCTCTGTATGTCTGTCTCTGTCTGTCTGTCTCTCTCTTTCTCTCTCTCTCTCTCTCTCTTTCTCTCTCTGTCTGTCTGTCTCTCTCTCTCTCTCTGTCTCTCTGTCTCTCTCTCTCTCTCTCTGTCTCTCTCTCTCCCTCTCTCTCTCTCTTTCTCTCTCTCTCTCTCTCTCTCTCTCTCTCTCTCTCTCTCTCTCTCTCTCTGTGTGTGTGTGTGTGTGTATGTGCCTATGTATATGTATGTGTATGTGTGTGTATATGTGTGTATGTATAATAACATGTGTGAGTGTGTGTGTGTGTTCTGGATCCTGTCTCTGTACATTTCTAGTTGTTTTCCGTCTTGTACACTGTGAGTGTTGTACCGTCATTCAACACTTTCTACTACCGTAAATTCCGTGCCTGTTTCTTTCCCCAGCATTGGTCTTGTCGGGACTCAAGGCCAACTCCGTCAGCTTCTCGCCCTTCAGCGTCCGCAGAGCCCTGGAGAACACTGCCAGCAAAGCGGACGGGGTCGAAGTCTTCGCTTTGGGACAAGGGATTTTACAGGTGTGGAAAAATGTCGGTCTTTGGGGCTTCTAGATGTGTAGATGTACGGGTGGTTGGCGAGGGATGCTCTGGTGTGGTTTGCTCCTTCTTTTCTTTAAAAAAGACTGTCGTCCTTCTCACTCACTCCTCCTCCTTTTTTCTTTTTTGTGTTCGTTACTCTCTTCAATTTTCTTGTAACACCTCTAATCTTCGGCACTTGACCTTATTGTGTTGTAAGTGCCATGAAACTCTTACTAAAAACTAAACTAAAAGGCCATGTCAGTTTGTTAAGTGTCTGAGCGCTTACTCAGCTGCTTGCACTGTATGCTTCCCGGGAAGCTGAGAATGTTTCCGAGTGTTCTATAGTCTATGGTCTGCTGGGGTAATAATATAGTGTAAAGCGCATAAAGCTCGCTGTCGAGCTGGGAAATGCGCTATACAAATGCTATTTATTATTAATAGATGTGTAGGTGGTTGGCGGGTGCTCTGGTGTGGTTTGCCCCTTTTTTTTTCTCTATCAAACATCCAAAATCGATCTTATCTGTCCTCCTTTTTTTTGTATTTGTTACTCTCACTGTAAGTGGCTGGTTGGTACTCTCACTGTAAGTGGCTGGTTGGTACTCTCACTGTAAGTGGCTGGCTAGTACTCTCACTGTAAGTGGCTGGTTGTTACTCTCACTGTAAGTGGCTGGCTAGTACTCTCACTGTAAGTGGCTGGCTAGTACTCTCACTGTAAGTGGCTGGTTGTTGCTCTCACTGTAAGTGGCTGGTTGTTACTCTCACTGTAAGTGGCTGGTTGTTACTCTCACTGTAAGTGGCTGGTTGTTACTCTCACTGTAAGTGGCTGGCTAGTACTCTCACTGTAAGTGGCTGGTTGGTACTCTCACTGTAAGTGGCTGGCTAGTACTCTCACTGTAAGTGGCTGGCTAGTACTCTCACTGTAAGTGGCTGGCTAGTACTCTCACTGTAAGTGGCTGGTTAGTACTCTCACTGTAAGTGGCTGGCTAGTACTCTCACTGTAAGTGGCTGGCTAGTACTCTCACTGTAAGTGGCTGGTTAGTACTCTCACTGTAAGTGGCTGGTTAGTGGGTGCTCTGGTGTGGTTTGCCCCTTTCCAATGAAACATCTATCATCCTTATCTCTCCTGCTTCGTGGTTGGTTGGCGGGTGCTCTGGTGGGGTTTGCTCCTTCTTTCCTATCATAAACATCTATCGTCCTTATCTCCCCTTCTTCTTTTTTATGTTTGTTATTCTCTTGTAACACCTCTAATCTTCTGGCGTTCATATGATCTTATGCAGTTGCGAGCGCCGTAAAACCTCTACTAAAACAAACAATCTCCTCCTTCAGATCTTTTTTGTGTTTGTTACTCTCTTGTAACACGTCTAACCTTCGGCACTTATATGACCAAATTGTGTTACAAGTGCTGTAAAACTCTCACTATCTAAAACGTCTCAAGTGGAAGAAACCGTATGGGTAGTAGTCTAGTGCTGGGCGACGAGGTTCGCGATTATTGAAAGCTAGGAATCGTAGGAATCGACTCAGAACCCAATTAATTACTGTCTAATGATGTGATTTCTTCCTGTGGTTACATGATTGGCTCCAAACATCTTCAGGATTTAGGATAACCTTGTTTTTGGGAACACTATGAAGCATCAACTTTTATTTTTTTTTAATAAATTTTTTTTTTTAAAGAAGAAGATTTTAATGACTAAAGTAACTGGTAACCGTTGGTGTGGGAACCGGTTCTGGAATCGATTCTTCGCCCAGCTCTAATGGGTAGCTGGTGCTTCTGCAGAGATAGATGATCTGTGGTTGTAGTTAAGGTCTCGGTGTGATATCTTCTCTCCCAACTCTCGTCAGGTGGAAGAAGCATTCAACTACTTGACGGAACATCGCAACTGCGTGGGCGAGAACGTACAGTTCACGGTGACCACCCCCAGCAACACGCGCGGAATCTACCTCCGGGAGCCCACTCACCTGGTCAAGCCCACGGAAGTGACCGTCGGGGTGGAGCCCATGTTCCAGGAGGGTGTCGGTGAGGAGGGGACCGCATGTGGCTTGTTGCATATCGCGTATTTGATACTTTTTTTTAGGGTCTTTCTCTCTCTCTCTCTCTCCCTCCCTCCCTCTCTCTCTCTCTCTCTCCCTCTCTCTCTCTCTCTCTGTCTCTCTCTCTCTCTCTCTCTCTCTCTCTCCCTCTCCCTCTCTCTCTCTCTCTCTCTCTCTCTCTCAGACCGGGAAAAGCCGAAATTGTATATAGTATGAATGTAATATTGTGCATTCAATTTGTTTTTTAGGGTCTGGGTATTACATATAGTATAAAACTTCCATTGTGTGTTTAATAACTTTTTTAGGGTCTGGGTATTGTATATAATGTAAAACTTCCATTGTGTATTAAATACTTTTTTTTAAGGTTCTGGGTACGGATGAATATAGGTAATAAATAGTATGAAAGTCCCTTAAGCTTACTTTTGTATCTTCATTTGTCATCTAAATCAGAAGGGTTTCTTTTGTCTCAAAGATGAACAATTTTAAAGAGTTACATGGTTAGATTAGAGCATAACGCCACCAATACGTAAAGAAGAAGAAGATTTCTAGAGTTCAGTATCATAAAGACCCCGAGGAACCTACTCCCTGAGCCAAAACAGACAGATGACTGGGAAAGATCAGGATAGTATGCAGGTTTTTTTAGAGCATCTGAGCAAAGGATCGCTGATGTCTGTCGCAGATCTGGCTCTTGATCATGATCAAAATAACAGTATGTGTCACGACACGATGGAATCAGACGTTCGTCAATTTTTGGGCATATGGACTTATTGGTATTATCCGAAACATTTGTTCAGCCGTGCAGTCTCGGCATTGAGAAGAATAGGACTGACGTGGTGCTAACGTGTCGTACGAGGCGACTAAATGGCGAACCAGGTAGTGATTCCTGAAACAGAGTCATCCTGCCTCCAGCTCGGGGGTTGAGTCACGAGGCTAACAACCTCTCTCGTAAAAAGAACCTGTTACAGAAACATATACAAGCAAAAAACATTTTCTCTGCATGGCTGATCTAGGATCTTCTCCAAGTGGAGAGATTATGATGCAAGGCAGTGAAAGCCGAGGAGATGCGTGGAAAGGGACATGAGAGAAATGAAGCTCACTTGGAACGAGCTTGGAAGGATGGCTCAAGACAGAGATAAATGGAAGGAGCTTGTATGTGGCCTATACCCTGCCAGGGGTGAAAGGCATTGATGATGAAAACATTAGTTCATTTGTCTTGCGTTCGCTGACACACACACACACACACACACACACACACACACACACACACACACACACACACACACACACACACCCTACCTCCCCCCTCCTCTATCTTGAATAAAAGTCGAGATGGGGGTTGCCTGGTGTCAGAGGTAAAGTGAGCGAGAAAATGGCCTTCAGAGTTTGGTGATTTCCATAGTTTGAAAGTCCTTGGAAACTGAAAATTTACCTTTTTTGCGCCTTTAATCGACGTTTTTCAGAAAAATGCACCCAAAAATGTGTTTTTAAATGGACATCAAAGGTGTTGAGCCAAAAACAGCAAAAGTCAATAAAGATTTCCAAAGCAGTGGGAAAAATGCCGGTTTCTTCGATTTCATTATTTTTTGACGAGCGCCTGATTTCACCACGATGTTTCACGCATTTCAGACGGCAAGGTGAAGATCGCGTTCCAGATGAACTTCTGCCTGACCAGCTCCCAGCCGTGGGTGCACGTCCCCACCAACTTCCTGCTCATGAACACCAGCCGCACCTTCTCCGTCAAGGTCAACCCTCTGGGGCTGCCGGAGGGCGTGCACTATGCAGAGGTGAGTGAGAGACAGAGAGAGAGAGAGAGTGACAATAAATTGTATGTTGTGTTTGTTGCTGACTTGTTGCTGACTTTTTTTGTTTGTTTTTTTTGTTTTTGCTGTTTTGGTTTTGTTTGTTTGGATGTTTCTTTTATTGTTTGTCTTCTTTTGTGACTTATTCAGTGTTTTGTCTTCTTTTGTGATGACTTATTCAGTGTTTTGTCTTCTTTTGTGACTTATTCAGTGTTTTGTCTTCATTTGTGATGACTTATTCAGTGTTTTGTCTTCTTTTGTGATGACTTATTCAGTGTTTTTGTCTTCATTTGTGATGACTTATTCAGTGTTTTGTCTTCATTTGTGACTTATTCAGTGTTTTGTCTTCATTTGTGATGACTTATTCAGTGTTTTGTCTTCATTTGTGATGACTTATTCAGTGTTTTGTCTTCATTTGTGATGACTTATTCAGTGTTTTGTCTTCATTTGTGATGACTTATTCAGTGTTTTGCAAGTTGTTTCACTTTGACTAAAAAAAAAAAATGGGAGTACTGTTTTGATTATTTGTTGGGTTTTTTTTTCCCTTGTCAGATCCAAGCGTTTGAGGCCAGCAATGTTCAGCGCGGTGCTATCTTCAGAGTACCGGTCACAGTGGTGGTACCTACCAAGTGAGTAGAGTCATAGTGCTTTTGTTTAGAGAGGTTTCAGCTACCAGACCTGTAATCATGAGATAGCGGGTTTCAGGGGTTTGAGCCTTAGCTCGGTCCAACGTGTCCTTGGGAAAGGTACTTAACACAAATTTCCCTTTGGCTCGGTCCTTTCGGAGATGGATGTTAGACTCGGAGGTCATGCCTCTTAAATAACCTAACAGTGTTGATAGGGGCGTTAAACTTGAATCATTTTCAGAGAGGTTTCATCCCTCTGGGTAGTTACTGACCATAGTGGGAATAAAGCAGAGGCAGCGGAAATGTGGTGTTTTACGAGACTTGAGAATGTCATGTCTGCCGGCGTTTTACTTTACTTTTACTTTACTTTTCCGATCCAGCGGCCATGTGGGTTCTAGCCCTTCGGTCTGTCGATATGGCAAAGAATTTGCAGGTTTTAATCAGCTGTGCTTTGTTGCTGTATAGAGTGTTTCCGATGTCTGGGGAGGCAGGTAGGTAGGTGCTATGCAGGTCACAAAGTGCTGGGCAGTTAAAGAGGTGGTGTGGTACTGTTTTATCCTGGCAGTCGCACAGCGGGCAGTTAGGTGGGGTATCCTTGCGGATCCTATTACGGTAGGAATTTAGTGGTATGTGTTGTGTTCGAAGGCGAAAGATCGTGACTTGTTCTCTGCCGTCGTTTCAAAAAAGTACAGTATACT